GAATTGCTCTTGACTGATTTCATTTCTAACTGACTATTGCTAGCACTCTTGGAATAGTTAGTATTAGACATTTGAGAGGTGAATAGCCGTTCTCGTGCAAAGTTCATTACATCTAACAGCCAACGCAGATGTTTCCAAGCAGCGTTCAAACGTGTTTCTAATGTTTCCACGGTATCTAAGCGCAGTTTGGCCGCTTCTAAATCCGAAGAACTCCATGCTTGTCGTATAGAATACCGTGCGTCGTCGGTATCCATTTGTACGACACTAGATAGTCGAGCGTAAAGCAATAGTGTATTGGCACGGTAAGTTCCAAAGTGTATCATCTCAAATACTTGAACGGTGAGTGGAACTAATTCGGTACGTTGTAAGTGAAGAGCCGAATGACTACTCTCACCCACAGCGCAAGCTACTTCTGCAGGTGGCACGATCATAATCAAACTCACATCACGGTCAACCTCAATTACTTCACTCGTGTAAATGCGTTGCACAGAACGTTTATCTTTCGGAATTTGCACAAGTGAATATAAACGGTTTGTGGCCATTTTGAATTGAGACATGAACCCTAAACACTTCGTTTCACAAGAACCGCTACTGATACCTTGTCTTAACCATAACCACTCTTCTCTGAAAATAAACAGCGAAATTTTAGTAAAGGAAACCGCTAGTAAAATGAATCATACTAAAAAAAAACATACATCAATATAATTATTTTTTAACACTTACGCAGTGACATGTGGGTTATCTCGGACTTTGCAACAAGCTGGCATATTAGGATTCTGTGATGGTACCATAACATGCAACATGTCTACCGAGCTCCTCATTAGCAAATAACCAACATATAAACCTTTTGGTAACCGGTTACAGCTGGTCTGATGAAACATGATTTGATCCTGAAGTAATGAATAATTATTTTCAGTTAAATTTGGTTTTTTTTTTTTATTGTTATGTATTTAACATTTTATATTTATAATGTCTTACTTGAATCGATGAAATCAATAAATCTGTTAAGTTCTCAGAGCGAGAAGATTTTTTTAAGATTTTTGTCATAGGTGTCCATTTAAGATTAACAATATTTTTCGGCTGACTTACGTTGCTTACCATACATATCACAGTCGTGCCGTCCGAATCTCGAATCGGCTTATAGTAAACTTTACCTAAGTTTTGTGAGTTTAATACATCCTATGAACAACAAAATAAAAATATTGTCACCACAAATTCACAATGTTAGTACATTGATTAATTAAATTCAGAAATTGTCTGAAGTACTTACTTGCATTTGAATAACGGCCTGAATAATTTTTGTTCTAAAACTGAACGAACTGTTGGTAGACTTTTCCAAATCATCTTTAAGCCATTTGAGATCTTTCCATGCGAAAGCTACTTTATAAAACCAATGGAAATCATTGAGCATTTCTTTTGGGTAAGTGTCATCAATCTCTACTACAGGCAAATAGTCCTCGTTAGAAACTAAAACTTTGTCTTCGTGGTATAGGAGACAGGAAAGGTATACACCTCTAAAATAGGTCAAATAATATTAAAAACTGTTTTCCGAAAAAACGTAATATTTTTTTCTATTAATTAAACATACCTCCGGAGATTCTTATGAAGTTTAGTATTACCACTAAACAGATGTTTAAATGTAGGCGGCTTCCTCTTTTTTGTACTCGCAGTGTTATCGATACCACCACCTACTTCGAACGACGACCTGTGCAAGTCAGGCCGGATGGAGATCATCTTGTCAAGTATATCATCCATCTTGACTTTCATAACTGACGTACAACGACGGGATTCTTGGCACACGTCCCACCAACCTAATAAATTATAATATTACTTAAATATATAAAAAAAAAAAAAAAAAAAATTGTTT